AAATGGTTAAAAACTTCAAATAAGCTGTTGCTGCTGCTTGCTGTGTTCATGTCACCTCCATAAACTATATTTCTTTATTCAGATACTTGGAACAATTTCCTTTATCTTCCTGGTAAGGTGAAGTAATGGTAATGATTTTTAGCACTTGAAGACATTCTTGAGACATTTCCAAGAGACAGCAGTATTTTCAGCACATATGCACATGCATGTGCGTATGCATTCTGACATAGTTACTAGTCCTCTTTCTGATTTTTTTAACTCAATATTTATACACATAAAAACTCAATACATGTAAAGATATTTATATTTCTGAACTGGTTAATTTCTGTGAAAGATGGTGTTTATTTAGAGATTTATCTCTAATTTCAGAGTTCAGTCCTTTGGTCTATTTTCTTGCAAATGGACCTAGTGTCTCTATCATAAATTGTAAAGACAAAATAACCTCCTCCAGAAAGTAGGATCTGCATTTTTTATATTACTTGTGAAATCAAATGCCATGAGATCCTGAAACATTTTTTATGCTGTATAATTATACTACTACTACTACTACTACTACTACTACAACTCCTACTACTTCTACCAACAACAACAATAGTTAAAAACAGACCAAAAAAATCTTGAACCCTGCTCCTATTCTCTTGTGTAGTTGTGTTGGACTATGTTGTCCAAATTGTTGCAACAATGATCTTAAGTTTATTTGCTTGGATTAATGCCTGATCCACTTGAGAAAATGATTCAGTGACCTGAGCTGGTTTGATATATTTTTCTCCTAATTTTCTTAAGTTGTTCTCCAGAAGTTAGAAATTCTTATCATTTTAGCATTTTAAGAAATAGTGTAATTGGATCTATGCAGTAAGTTAAGTCAAATTCAAACAGAATAAAACCACTTCAGGCATCCTATTTGATGTGTGAGGAAAGAAACTGTTTGTCAAGTTATATATATATATATATATTTTAAATATCCAAAGGAAGGAAGGTTTTGTGACTGATGTAAAGACTGAACAGGGAGTTGGAAGACCTGGGTTCAATCTGCAGCTCTTCACAGACTTCCTGTGTCACCTTGAATAAGCCATTTACATTTCCCAGTTCTTCTCTTTCCTTCCATCAAAAAACAAATAATTGTATCTATCAGCATCACAGGAGGTTCATGAGACTTAAGAAATGAGAAAAATAATTTTTAGGAGAGTTCTGGCTCTTGGAAGTTAGTCTACAACCTCATGTTCTCAATATGCTCAGAGCTTTAGACTTCAGAGCACCATGGAGGGTCTATCTTAGCTCCTCTGCATATGAGGAACTGCTTTAGACAAAGCTGGATAAGAGAGGTTCTGTTACTTGGTACTGTGTATCTGTGAAGGTTTATTTATTTATTTTTATATTGCTGCTAATCTGGGCTGATGTTATACTTGTGAAATTTGTTAGTTCATATTTGAAAGCCTGTTTATGATGCTCAGAGTATCTGCTGCAATTATAACATTTATTAAAATGAAAAAATAAATCAGTAATATCTTCATAGGGAACTGAAATATTTGGAGGAGACTTGCAGAGCTGAAGTAGTTCTTATGTGTTATTAGGTTATAATTGAAAGGATCTTCAAGATTATGTTTTTTTTTTTTTTTGTTAGGCAAAACTTAGTTCATTTTTTTGATAGTCATTTGACATCAGGATACATTCACAAAAATGTATAGATTCTATGTGTTGTTTCATGTATATATTTATATGTGTGAATATGTATTTGCACGTGTGATGTGTATGCATAAAGAAAGTTGCCTCTGAGTGCATGAACTTGTGTATGAAAGTAGGAACAATAATTTTTGTATTGCAGCTGTGGCTGTTTTTGACATCAAAGCAAAATGAAAACAGTAAAAGTAAAAGAAAAGAAGGAAAAAAAAAGAAACATAAACCAAAACTATTATTAGAGAAGAACAAAGGAACTGATCCCACAGACAGTTTTTCAACAGCTGGCAAGGTTCATCAGCTATTTTTACTGGTGTAGTGCCGGTCCTGTTAACTCTGTTATTTTTTCTGTTTAGTTTTCCTTTTTTTTTTTTTTTTTTTTTTTTTTTTCTGTGCCTGAGTATCACTTATGGTTGGATTGATTTCAATTTCACAGGTGTATGTGTTAAGTTAAACCATACTGAAGTCAAGGAAGTGCAAAAATCAGCACCCTCGATATTTCTGTAGAGATTCATTGCCTTGATCTGCCAGGCAGGTGGCCCTTTGATAATATATATTTAACAACTGGTCCAGCATTTCAATTATCTTCTCTGGATTTTGTCATGCTGTAAAGCAACACTCCAAGTAAGCACCTTCATTCCCTGTTTGCAGTACGATCTGAGAGCCATGAGACTGCCAGCCCTTGGCATTCAGAGTACTGGTCTCCTAATGGTAAAAAAATTACCCCAAAATCACATGACTTAATAAAACTGGGAAACTCCTAGTTTCTTTTGGTTCATTTTTCTAGCTTGCAGTTCTAGTCTCAAAACTGGAATCTATTTATTTTATAGGAGGAAAGCTGAGATTCTTGCTTAATCATATGACCCCAGGAGCTGAAGCTTAATGGAAAAGAAACAGCAAACTGTCATAAGACTCAGGATGCAAATTACGAGATTTGGCAATGCTAAAGTCACATACTCCCCTGCTTCTGAATCTTGGATTGACTAAAAGATATGAGCTTTCAGCATCCTGCAGAAGCTGTGTCTGTATCCAGAAGTTTCCTCCATAAATGATTCCTGCTGATGCAGCTTCTCTTCCTTTTATGGGGCTGATGAAAGTAATGTAACCGGTAGCAAAGATTTTTCACTACCAATAATGTTGTTCCAGAAACAGATTGTGAAGCAAAACTTAGAGAATATTTTTAACAATGAACTGATTAAAGTAGATTAACTAAGAAATGGGTTCTGCCCATCAGGAGGTAATTATTTACAGTTAAGGTTTTGGAAGAAATTCGTCATTGGGATAAGGGAATATAACTGCTGACTTAAGTAGAGTAGCACACATACATAGGAACAATAAAAATTTTCATTTTCATATCTCAGGAATATTTTCCAGCTATGGCATCTAAAGAAAGCTAATTCACTGAAAATCTATAAGTATAGCCAAAATTAAATGTAAATAGCAAAATATTGTTTTCCCCTTTTGTGATGTTATTACTAGCTTGTGATAGATACGTCATTATTATTTCCCATTGGGTCAGGTTCCGAATTGCCTTTCTGGGCATCTATTTCTGGCAGTACAATGTCGATATGTACATATCTGGACAGAGGAGGGGAATCTAAATACATAGTTTTCTTATACGGAGGCATGTGTTCATGTTTTGAATGGAATGACTTCCATTGAGGCATTCCTTACTCCTGACAATTCAGTAGGAGCAGTCTAAAGCTAGCCAAAAAGATAGAGATGTGGAGGAACCATCTTCTTTCAAACTGCAGTCCCTAAATCCTGAATGCTGACTAGGAATCTTCACCTGCTTCAATGTGAAGCAGAGACAACCTAACTTTATTATCTGCAAACTTGGACCCAGTGACTTCCCTAGTCGGAGGAATTCAAAAGAATATTTGCTCTTCTCTGAGGAGTTTTCTCAATATACAGCAATTAAGCAGGCTGGCTATATATGTGAAGGGAACTCATTGCTTTCCTCTTTTCTGGGAGCTGAGCCACTGCACAGTTGAATGCAATAGTCATGGGGACAGTACAAGCCCTGAAGGCTGAATGAAAATCATACCATTGCTCAGTATTTGATCCTACCACTCTTCATTTTGTAAACAGTTGTGTCCTTCAGTCTGGATGAAAGCTACTGTTCTGAGTGTGCACTACAAAGAAAGCAGTGCCCATGTGCATTCTCCAAGTTCTGCTTAAGCGTCATGAATAAGACCTTTCTGAGAGGCAAAGGCATAAGCAAGTTGTTCCTTGTCTCACATACAGGTTGCTTGGAGCTCAGACTGGGCTAGCAGTGGGAATGGTTTATTGAACTAGCAAGAGCAAGTGGCTCTCAGTTCTCTCCCCAAGAGCTAGAATGGAGTCACGTCTTCCTTTGGCTACCTTTAATCTATACACACTGAACCCTTTCATAATGACTTTGTTAGATTTTGATCATGACCATTCTTGGGGTGAGTACACTTAGCTTTGGAATTACTTGATAACATGTGGAATAATATTTACATTGGCCTGCTATGAGAGGAAAACATGAATATTTCAAATTGTGTTCCACATGTTTACTTTTTAAATCCTCTTAAGCTAGCTAATTTTTACACTGAATCTATACATTCATTACCTGGTATCACACACTCAAAGAAAATATCTATGGACTAGAGCTAAGAGGTCATCATGCTGATTTGCTTGCACATACAGAATCATTCCCTACAGAAATATTTGTTCTTAAAAGTTTTGTTTTGCCTTGTTTTAAATGGTTGATCAATGGTTTTACTATGAGTTCCCTTGGGAAACTGGCAGGTAGACCTTGATGTTAGGAATATGATTTTACTATTTAAAGTATATTTTTCTCCTAAATAATTTCATCTGTTTTCATTTACTGTTTTATTTACCATGATGTCTCCTTCTCCATGCAAATTAAAAAAATCTTTCTTGGGCATCATCAGGATGGGGCTCAGTGGTGTCAAATGATAAGATGAGAGGCAATGGGCGCAAACAGTAACATAGGAAATTCTAGCTGAACATGAAGAAGAACTTTTTTACTGTGAAGGTGACTGAGTACTAGAACAGAATGATGAAAGAAGTTATGAAATCTCTACTCTGGAGATATTCAATAGCTGCTCGGACACAATTCTGGCTACTGTGCTCTAGAGGACCCTCCTTGAGCAAGGGGGTTGGACTAAATGATCTCCAGAGGTCTTTTCCAAATTCTGTGATTTGTGATCATTAGAGTGTTAAGGACAGAAATCATGCTGTGCCTGCAACAAATGTACACCTTCATAGCTGGGGCTTGGTCATAGGAGGTTTGATTTCATTGCCCACTAATGTTATCTTGTATCTTTCAAACTCAGTACAGGATCCTGCCCAGTCCCCTACTGCTGATCCACAAGGTTCTTTGTCAGAGCTGCCAGCCTCGTGTGGATATTTCAGAGGATTTGTCAAATGGTGTTCATTGTTTCTATTAATGCAGCTGAGTTGCACCGAGAACGTCCACTTTAATATTAGTCTTCTGAGTAAGGTAAGCATAAAAAGACTTAATGTGAAGTCTTATGAAAAGTCCTCTTCATGTCAATGAGGATGTTAAGCTTAAGTCTGGACAATGAGGTCAACCTCTTTTTGACACAGGATAATCTGTGGCTATATCTGCTTAGTTTCTACAGGGAAAAGCTTTTTTACTATGATTACAGATGAGACGTTGGTGGATTTCAGCTTTCAGACCAAGGTACCTTAATGAGTGCTACAATCACCTGAGCCTGGGCCTCTCTGACTACACTGGCTACTACTCATAGTGGGTTTCAGTAGCCTAAACATAATGCCCCAATTGATGGATGGACCACTTGGTGGGTAAGGAGTCGGGTGGACAGTTATACTCAAAGAGTTGTGGTCAGCTGCTCAGTGTCCAAGTGGAGACCAGCACTGAGTGGTGTTCCTCAGGAGCTGTTATTGGGACTGGCACTGTTTGACATCTTTTTTGGTGACATGGACAGTGGGACTGAGTACACCCCAGAAAGTCTGCAGATGACACCAAGATGTGTGATGTGGTTGACACGCTGGAGGGAAGGGATGCCATCCAGAGGGACCTGGACAGGCCTGAGAGGTGGGCCTGTGTGAGCCTAATGAGGTTCAACAAAGCCGCGTGCGAGCACCTGCATCTGGGACAGGGCAATCCCAAGCAAAAATACAGGCTGGATGGAGAACAGATTGAGAGCAGCTCTGAGGAGAAGGACCTGGGATTGCTGGTTGATGAGAAGCTCAACATGAGGCATGAGGCAATATGCGCTTGCAGCCCAGAAAGCAAACTGCATCCTGGGCTGCATCAAAAGCAGTGTGGTCAGTAGGTCAAAGGAGGTGATTGTTCCCCTCTGCTCTGCTCTTGTAAGAACCCACCTAGAGCCCTGCATTCAGTTCTGGGGCCCCCAGCACAAGAAGGACACGGACCTATTAGAGTGAGTCCAGAATAGGGTCACAAAGTTGATCAATGGCTGGAGCATCTTTCTTAAGAGGACAGACTGAGAGAATTGGGGCTGTTCAGCCCAGAGAAGAGAAGGCTCTGGGGAGACCTATTTACAGCCTTCTAGCACCTAAAGGGGGACTACAAGAAAGAAGAAGAGGGATTCCTTATCAGGGAGTGCAGTGATAGGACAAGGGTTAATGGTTTTAAGCTGAAAGAGGGTAGATTTAGATTAGGTATTAGGAAGAAATTATTTATTCAGAGGGTGGTGAGGCACTGGAACAGGTTGCCCAGAGAAGCTGTGGATGCCCCATCCCTGACAGTGTTCAAGACCAGGCTGGATGGGGCTTTGAGCAACTTGGTATAGTGGGATGTGTCCCTGCTCATGGCAGGTGGGTTAGAACTAAGTCATCTTTAAGGTTCCTTCCAACCCAAACCATTCTATGATTTTATGATCCCTTGCAGTGACCTGATTCTCATTAACAAAATTCACCTGTAGAGACATACTTGGTTGGTGTCATCTATAATGTGTTTATATATTCAAACTATACACAATCTGTTGTACATATAACACAGATCATGCCAGGAACCCACATATATTTGAGGAGTGGTGGAAGTGGTGGTACACCTTAAGCCATGTAAAACAGTGCTAAGTACCTATATTTTCCTTTTGCTTATACAACTCTGCTTTGCTTATACAACTCTGCTCACCCCCCCCCCTGCTTCGACAGGAGGTTGGACCAGATGATCTTTTGAGGTTTCTTCCAACCCCTGCGATTCTGTGATTCTATGAACTCAAACTCACCTTGAAATTCTCAAATATAAATGTTCAGATGCCTCAGAATCTTTAAGAATTATTTTCATTCATATAATTTAACAACACAAGATAATTTTTGGTGTGTTCTATTGTCTTTCACTACTAGTGTATTTAGGGCATCTAGTTAGCAGTAGGACAGGTAAAGTTTAAAAAAGAAAATAAGGGATACTCCATTGACACCTAATTCAAATATGCTTAAAAATGATGGCCACATCAGGAAACTATCAAATAAATGATTACACTAGCTCATGGCTGTCTAGGGTATTCACATTGTTATCAATGATATCAAATTTGAACACCCTTAATAGAAGTGGCTTGCTCTGCCCCCAACCATATAGCCAACCTAAAACCTAAATGTGGGTGTTCTGAGTATCACCTGATAGGAAGTCCAAAATCAGCAGTGTAAAACCTACTGAAGGCAATTACAAAATAATGTTCTGGAGCTTTGTTGATTGTATGCTTATTTACGAAAATTAGGCTTCCTCTACTGAGTTCATAGTGCAATACTACAGTAATAACTCTCAAGAAATGGACTGAGACAGACAGTTCATTGCCAATAACTGAGAAACAACATGACTGCATACTCAAAATACAAACAAAGATGTTCACAAAAATAAGAAATTCTCTTACAGTTTATTGTTTAACTTTATGTTGACCCTGATGTTGTAAAAATAAAAGTAGTCCTGTATAAGTAATATATGTAATGTGTCTTGAAAAAAATTTGCTTCTAGAAGATGTTAGTGAGATTATTGCTGTTGGCTTAATTAACTGAAGTTCTGTGAAAATTATCATACATTCATCTTCATCTCTGAGATGGAAAATGCCAAATTTGTTTTGTTTTGCTTCACTGTCATGAGTTCCATTAAGATTTTTTTCTCTGCTACATTTTGATTCGAAGATTTATTTGTGTATATATTTTTGTTCCCTTTGTTTTAATAAATGATGACAAAATTCATGTTGGTGATATTTCAGACGTCAATCTAAAGTTGATTTCCATGACAAAAGTAAGTAAATTCAGGAAGAATAGGTAATTACCCTTGTTTATTGCTTTAACCAAGGAATATAATACTTTTGAAAAGAAAAATCAGAATAAAATCCAATAAATTCTCATTTATTTGCATGTGAAGAATGTTACCAATTTGCTTACTTTAGAGAAGCGTTTTGCAAACATTTATTACCAGAACTACTAATGTAAGATGTCAAAACTTGTACCCGCAAATTCAGCATTACAATTAGTCTTACAACAACCTGAAGAAGTAAGGAATTTCTTCTGGTATAGTATATGTCTTGTGCTTCACATTGAGACTCACAATGCAGAGCATGTCTACATGTCTGCTGACCCTGTGCAATACAAACCATGAGCTGCATCCTCTCAAAACTAAAAGATTAAAAACAATCATAAATATGGAATTCTTTTGATTTACCTTCTGTCATCAGAGGTGTTATCTTTGAAGTCTTCAGAGTTTCTTCAGGCTTGATATGTCATTTTTAAAAAGAGGAAACTAATGTTTGCATTTAATCCTGAGCTGAAAATTGATCTAGGAAAGAAAAAGAGAAACCAACACAAACCCTCAAATCAGGGACCCCTTATGAAAACAATGAGGGTTCCCAGTGCTGCCAAGGCACCTGTCATTCCCCTACCACATTTCACCTGTGTAACAATGCATTTTTGTATTTGCTACCTTGTCATATTAACTCAGATGGGAAAATACTCTGGAATACATTGCAATGCACTCCACCACATTCTGGCTTAATCCACAGTGTCTGTTTCCATGTTTTTGCATTCCTTACAGGTAGCACAGATGAACCTTCACCTCAGTCAGTTGTTTCCTTGGGAAGGTGAAAATGTGAATCACCTTTACTTGCGTGTTTCTAGTAGGAATGGGCTGTTTTCTTACAATTTGGATGGCATGACAGCTCAGGGCTTCCTGGGTATCATAGTATCCAGTATCATAGTCTTATTTATCTTCTTTAATCAACTTAGGCATCCTGGTAAATAATCGTGGCTGACTGATATATGCCTACAAGCTAATACATAAATTTACTCTCCGTCCATTAATGTCGCTATAAAATTACCAGATGGGTAAATGCAGCTCTTTCCTCACAGTGCACAGAGGCATTATCCAAGCCAGAGAAGGATCCAACCACACCCTGCAGAGCTGAGGCTGCACATACATGCAAAACTACTTGTGTGGATGTGACTGCAGAGAATTTAATGCTAAAGACCTGGGAAAACAGAGTTGGGGTGTGCCCAGTGTGGCTTGGCAATAACAGGTACAGCTTCCAGCTTGGCAGCTCATCTCAGCCTGAGCTTCAAAAGCTCACCAGAGGAACCAGCAGAGATTAGCTTTCAGGGTGAGGTCAGCAAAAACATTCCCAGTCTCAATTCTCTTACCTTAAACAGAAGCCACTCTTGGATTGTGTACTTATACCACTGTGTACCTGAAGGTTTTAAGGAGGAGAGCTGGGATGAAATAAATAGGAGTGTGTTCAAAAGGTATCAATGACAGGAATGTATGTGTGTATAAATGTCTCCAGGCCTAGAGACATCATCCTGCAGAGAAGGAACCCAGAAACTTGGTGTGTTTTTTAGTTTTTGCTTTGTTTTGCCCCATCTAATTGGTTTAAACTGATACGTTTTCAAAATGGTATTCACTAGGACAAAAGAGAGCAACTTTCTTTTCTTACAAAACAAAAACAAAACAACCCAGAAAAACAAACAAACAAACAAAAAAACTTTTACTCCTCTTGTTAAGCACCATTTGAACAGAAGGTCTTTGCTGCCAGAGTTGTAAGTTTTGTCACTATTCTCCTTATCTTGTTTTCAAAAGCAGTGATTAGAAATATTTTATGTACCTACATTATATTTACCTTTTTCTTCCAAAAGGTAATGAGTGAGTGAGCACTTGCTGGTTGATACAGTGAATACTTAAATATAAACAAATGTATCCTCCCCCCCCCCCCAAAAAAAAAATGTCCCTGGATATGTAGAGATAAAACACATGTAAATATATACTAAATATATACATGAATTATTGTCCATGATAAAATATTACACATATTAGACAGATGTATATGAGTTTCATATTTTCTTTCTAACCAGAAACTATATATTCTACCTGAAAGTTTGCATGAAAAAAAATTACCTTTTTAAAAAAGGAACCGGAAAACAGAAGTATTAACTGGAGAGCTCCTTCTGTCATGACCTGTGTCTTGGGCTGGAACTACCCTGAATGATGATGAATACCTTGTATTCCCCTACATATTATCAAAATGAAAGTTAAGCTCACAGAGATATATATGCACTGCATTTTTGTAAAAGTTTACTTGAAAACATGGATTGCTGTGTTTTGTCCTACATCTATTTTCTACACCTTTTTATTGATGTGATAAATAAACCACATGCAAACTTTATATTCTTTAAAAGGAACTATATTGCTCTCCACTCTGCTTATATTCGTAAAAGTGGTTTAACTTTGTGTACTGACGTCAGCTAAGTCAATTGGATTTAGACCTGCCCTGGAATAATGGTAGTAGAACTTGCATGGGATCCAGTTCTGCTGTTTTTGTATCAGTGGGAACAAACCTAGGCTCATAGTGTAGAAAGCTCGTAATAAACTTTGGTTCAATAGAGGATATGGAAGGAATATAGTTTATTCTTAAAATGATTTATTTAAATTAGTAGACCAGAATTATACTTAAAACCAAGTGTCTAAATGCACCTGTTTAAGTCAGCTTCTTGTTCTCTCAGGTATTTAGGCATTGAATTTTCCCCATTAGCAACATGATTGACACTGTGGTCCTTACAATAACACATGATTATAACTCTGAAAATAGCAATTACATAAAATGGAAACCAGATGTTGCATGGAATTTGACTCTCTTGGTTTCTCAGTGAAGTAGATGAATTTGTAAAGCAGAAAACCACAATCATTATTCAGATGGATTGTACATGAATTAATGACATAATATCTAAATCATATATGGCTGAAAATAATGATTAACTTCAGCTATCAAGATAAGCTAATGGAAAACAGATTTTTTTAAAGAAAAAAAATCAAGGACATGCTCTTTTCAATATATTTTATCTTTATGGTAATAACAAAACCAGACCTGTTTTAACATTTCTTTATCCCTCAGATATCAAGGATATATGTTAAAAATAAGCTCTTCACAACTTTTAACCTCAGAGAGTGAACTGAGCAACCATTTTCATTGTTACTTGTTGATGGCAAGTGCTTTCCCATTTTAGGCTGTAATAAGTTTGATCAAATCACCCCACTTTAATAACATAGAGTGTTTAGTGAATGAACTTTAGCAATGTTCAGTTTTGCATCTGCATAGAGTACAAGTGTCAGGTCAGTGCTAGGTCTTTGAGTTCACATCACAAACATGCAAACACACAAGCAAACACCCTGTGACAGAGCAGCAGACCACCACATTGCTTTGCAGAACTTTAATGAACCTACAACAAGAAGTATCACACACACATCTCAACCTTCAGTTAGCAGCATCCTAAGTGGTTAAATTTATGAAAGCCTTGGCACATCATTTTCACTATCATGTATTCTCAATGACATCATCATTGTAAAATTAGGAACTTTCTTTCTCTCTTTCCTGCAGATGTGGAAGTTTGAAATTGCATTCCATGGTCCTGTGCCACATTTCATCAGCGTTTTTCCTTTGCTTTCTCCAAAGACTGGCCACATGTGGTGTGTAGATTGCTGGTGCTGTTTGGGATCTCATATCAAATACTGCTACCTAATCCCAGGCGGGCCTTGGCGGGCCCACACCTGCAGCTGATTGAATCCTCCCGGAGTACAAAGGCCTGATTTACAGCATCAAGGATACAGGGCCTGGTTGCAGCTGGGCTCCAGCAGGAAAAGGAAGTTGTTCATCATCTTGTGTGCATTTCATTAACAATAGTGTACCCGATATGTAGCTTATACAATAATTTCAAATCACTGACAGAGAGCATTATGGTATTTGGCATTAGGAGGAAAAATACTTCAGGATGGGCAAATTAAATGTGAGCGTGAGGTTTTCATGTGACCCACTGAAGGTCCACAAGCTGATTTACACTGGAAGGGCTAATATTGAAATATTTTATTTATTTAACTTTATCCCATTTCTTTCACTTTGTCTGATGAATGGGCTGGTACAGCATGTGAGCCTCAGTGTACAAGCATGGGAGAAAGTTATAGCCGTTTTCAGAACAAGCAACCCCAAAGTTATGTTAAAGTAAGAGGTGACTATGACTACAAGACTATTGTCTTTAAAAACAGGGAACTCAAGGTTCAGAAAAGAGTTTTTAGATAAATTCCCTTATCTTGGTGCACAAATGGATTAATCTGATGAACATTTCAGATGCCCATATTTGCATTAGCTGTATAGATATGGGAGGAAACGAACATGGTTAATATGTCATTCTTCAAGCCTACATGTCCTACCCATACACAGAGTACAGTAACATGAATTCAGAAGAGGTCGTGGGTATTTGTTTCCTGGCAGAACAAACTTTTCTGTCCTGGCTGTGGTCTGAAATGTTTCTGATTGAACAGTCAGTGATGTGGTTTATCTATAATAGTTGATTATTTACAAGAAAATGTAATTCTTTATTCTTATTCAAAAACTTTTGAATTTTGTTGAGTGTTTAGATCTCCATCCTATTTTATAAAGTAAAATGTTTTCTTATTTCAACAGAAAAAAAAATTATTTGTCAAAATGGGGTAATTGTATTCAACTTTCCCCAATCAGAAGACTGCCAGAAGACTCACAGAAATGGCTTGCATATTTGAGCCCTTTAAATTGAAAAGACACAAAGTTTGGTTGAATAGTCTCTAAATTGAACTCATGGTCATTTTCTGAAACAATTAAGTAGTTTCCTGTCTAAATGGTACTATTTACACTGCAAAGTCACTGAACTTCTGCAATTGCAGTGTCAAATATAATTTAGAATTGATGGTATTGAGCTGAGGCATTTAAAGAATACATCATATATCCATACAAATTCAGCATAGTTTTGATGTTGCTAGGACAGATAAGATAACACTAAGAGAATTAAAAACTCTCTTGTTTGCTTTGTGATCAGGAAATTAAAAAAAAAAAAGATCTTGAATAACATTAAGTTTAATATCTACACAATCAGAAATACATTTTAGACAGGGTAAGATTTGCAATTTTAAAAGTTCATTAGTTTTATTGTAACATCATAGTCTAACAGCATTTTGCTGAAAAACAAATTAAAACTCACAAGGCCTTTCTACCTGAAAAAAAAAAACACACACAAAAAAAACAAAAAACATATCTATTCTTTTATATCCAATTATTTCATTAATGTGTAACATGAAGTATTATTCTGGAAAACAATTTTCTCTAATGTGTAAACCCAGTCGATAACTGCAGTTCAAGAAATAAGTTAAAACAACAATACAGTGTTAAAAGCCCACAAAAAGAAAAATACTATTTCACCAATTTGCATTCTTATTATCACACCCTTCATGTACCAATTGTGTGAGTAGAGCCACATGAATTAGTGTGATTTTCTGAAAAATTATTTTTAAAGTGTATATTACCCAGAAGACTTATCTGAGTGGATAGTTTTAGAGGCACAAATCATGGGGAAAACTCATCTGTGACTGTTGGTTTGTCTTTGGTGCTGAGAGATTCTGAAATTATCAACTAAATGTTGTTCTTAAAGGACATATAGCAATGAGAATAGTAGTAGTGAGGCTGTCAAAATCTGTGTCTCTTTGAGATGTTTTGCTGACTGCATCCAGATTTTTTTTAGCACTTCATACCATGCAGCATTTTCAGACTCTTTCATGGGTACCTAGTTATGCCAAAATTGTCATGACTTATTTTTCCTTAGTCTCCTCATCTTTTGTTGTTGTTGTTGTTGTTCCCAGTAATATTTCCTCATACACAAGTCCCAGATTTGTACTTTCTTACTGACTTTAATGTCTGTGCTAGTCACTCAGCCCAAAACCTTCAAATATCTTCTTGTTTTTACTCCCTTACTCTTCCTCTCCTCTAATCTAATTAAACTAGTCATGTTTATTACATTCTTTCTCTAGCATGAAGTGTGTCTGTGGTGTGTTTGTAGGGCAGGACGCCTTCACCAAGGTTTTGAAGTCAACAGACTCCCAACAAGGAACATAAATGACATAAAGTCCTAATGATTTTATGAGACAATGAATTTATGTTATGCGACGAGACATCTCACTGTTCCTTCTTCTGAGCATTTGGAACAGTCTCTAACCTCTTACTGTATCCAAAAGACCCTTTTATTGCCTGCTCCCATAACCATGTACCTGCCTGCTCTGATAAATGCTTGAATTACATGGCTGTCCAGGCCATGTGAGAATGGCCAGCATTGGCTTTTTAAAATTGCTACAAACACAACTTCTCTATACCCTCTCCCACACCATTTTGTTCATGCCTTAGGTTTTGAAAATATCATGTGAAAATGAGAGGAAATAGGAAGATCGAAGACATTTGTGTTAGATTGAGTATCCTGATTTCATGATGAGATGAGAAGTTATCTTACATTTCTGAATTCCAGAAACATGAATATTATTGAGGACTGGAATAAGTCCATTGAAATTGTCTGTAAAAATAATTTCCCTTGAATAGTTACCCATACAGTATTGTTGCTTATGCAGTTATAAAAAAAAACATTTAGCACTTTATAATCCAATCTCTGCTCCTATGCAAGCCTGGGAACATATTCTGCTTAGAAGGGTAACAACTTTTACAAAGTGTTCCTCATGGAAATCACCTGGAAAATGTCCAGGATGGCATTCCAGATGTTATAGTTTTAACAGTCACAGAAATACGTTGCACTGCATTTCCAGATCCTGCATACAGTAAAATGACTGTATGGGGTAGCACCTTCACCTTAACCCAAGAGCATTGTTACAGAATTGTTTAGCATTTGATATGTAAGCTGGGATGTTCTAAACTTCTCAGTTGGTGCTGGCCTATCTCTGCTTACAGGAAAGCCAAGTGTAAGACCTGAGATGACTTTACAGAAAGCAGAGTTAGACCAATACTGAAAGTCTTTGGTAACTACACATACGCTCTAAGATTGGTCATGTACAGTTCACATCTCTATATGTATAGATATATCAGGAATCTATGTATAGATATATCAGGAAAGGTCATTAACTTCTTTCTGAACATGGTTTCTTTGTTACAAATATACAATGAACTGCCTTTTTGATCTTTTGGCAAAGTTATCTTTTGCATGACTGTAAGTGCCAAAATTTTATCTGGCACTGCATACATGTGATGACTTCAAATAACGTAGAAATGACTCTGAAACCTGCTATTCAGGGTTAAAAGAAAACATATTTCATAATGGGATAATATGTTCAATTCTAATTCTTATCAGCTTTTAGGCTTGTCCATGAGTAATGTGACCAGTGTTTGAGCCATCTATCTGACAGGCTGTTGGGCTGTTATCTTGGTGTAGAGCAATATAAAAAATGCCAAATTCAGAGCTCGGATAAAGCCTGAAACTTATCTTTGGAGCCATGTCAAACTCCAAGCTCACATGCAAGTTAAAATATTAAATTTTTTATATTTGCTTGGCTGTTCTTTAATAAAATACCTAGAAATCCAATGCAGATTCGGTAATCTAATGCAGATTCAGTAATCTACTATGCTAGCTACTGCCTAAAATGCACCTTAAAAAAAAAGTAAAAAAAAAAAAGTATCTCTTTCAATAAATGACTGCAGAAGCATAAAATAATGCACAGTGATTAGAATCAAACAGTCTGAACATGACTATACAAAGAATCCCAGTGCTTTTTCAAGAATTTTAGAGTGACTTTTCTAGCTTTTTACAGAGTAGTTTTCACTGCAAATGTCCAGAAATAGTACTGCTGCAGAAGTTCACATGGGATCACTTCTCAAACCTGTCCAGATCCCCCAGATAGTATCTCTTACCTCTAGCATATCAACTGCACCACTCATCTTGGAGTCTTCTTCAAACTTGATGATAGTTTGAAGTCTTCTTCAAACTATCAATGTTAGTAATGAAGTTATTAAATACTAATAGTCACAGTATGGAACCTTGAGGGACAACATTTATTAATGGTTTCCATACAGATTGTTTACTGTAGGTCTTTGGGTGCTGCCATCCGGATGATTACTTATCCATCTCATAGATGTTTTTATATTCAAGGTCCTCGGGTGGTCTCAAGCCTGATTTTTTCTTATGATGTGAGGGGCTTAATTCCACAAATCATGACTTGAGGTTCAAGAAACTTGAGAGTTGTAGGAAGAGTGATTTCCAGTGAAAACGGGTCATACTCAGAAGAAAGATATTGCCAAAGAGATAATAGGAGACGTTTCAAAAAAAGACCAGATGCTTACAAGGAGGAAGGAGGGAAAGACTGACCATGCACTCCTGAAGCAAGAAGTAGAAAATTTGGATAATGTAAAATGTCATCTCTGCATGATGAGTTAGTGAAAAATTTAGTTTGCTGATGTAGAATCAGAGGAAACATATAACCTTAAGACCAACTAGAGTTAATTCAATCAGGAAAAAAGAAAGACCCATGCATTAATGTCAAAGGAATAGTATAAAAGGAGGACAGGAAGAAATGCATACGTGCAGCAAATTAAGGATTAGAAAATGAGGTAATATCTGAAATACTGTAGATACAAACAGTAATAATATCTGTGGACATTTAAAATGAAGAAAAAAAAAAGTGGGGTGGAAATGTCTAATGGTCATTTGAAACTGCTTTCAGGCAAGTTCAGTTGGTAATTTGGACTGGAACAAAAGCACTTGAAAGGGCTCTGGGAAGATATGTCTGAGGCCTTGATGACTGATGGGAAACACTGATACTGAGCAGAAGATGAAAGTGTAGGAGGGGGAGTGGGAAGTGGCATTGCAGTAGCCTCAAACAGTCATGCAGAAGCACAACACTGGTGCCAGCCAGAGTGCTGCCAGGGTGAGTATGACAACCATAATGGTTTCTGTGTGGGTAGATGATGATTATCTGGAATGCGTTGTCTGCCCTGCTGCAGTGCCAGCACCTGCCAGCATCCAAGCCGGCACTGCTCACTGCTCCCTTACCCCCATGGTCCCACAGCATTTCCTCCATCCTCTCTACCAGCTGACTGGGGGGCTGTGGGGCTGAAGACCAGGGCTATGATGGGTGGATTCTTGACCAAGGTCTGGGCAGCACTTTTCAGGCAGCACTGGAAGATCCTCAACCCTGTGCTGCCCTTGCTGTGGTGAGATCTGGCAATCATCTACAGGACACAGTGGTGGCAGGCAATGGTAGTGGAGAGGCTCTTTGTGCACACTTTGTGCCAAATAAATTTCTGGAAGGCATGCCCTCAGAGGAAAAGCTGAAGACACTTTGGTTTTCTAGTCTGGAGAAAAGAAATCTAAGAGGTGAACCCTCATTGCTCACTACAGCTTCCCGAGCAGGGGAAACGGAGGGAGGTGCTGTTCCCTTCTCCCTGGTAACCAGTGACAGGACAGATGGGAATGGCACAAAGGTGCACCAGGGGAGGTTCAGGCTAGGTATTAGGAAAGATTTCTTTACTGTGAGGGTGGTCAAGCACTGGAACAGGCTTACTAGTGAAATGGTTGATGCTCCATGGCTGTCAGTGTCCGAGAGCCATTTGGATAATGCCCTCAATAACGTGTTTTAATTTTTAGTTAGCCCTGAAGTAGTCAGGCAGTTGGACTCAATGATCTTTGTATGTCCCTTCCAACTGTACCATGCTATTTGATTTTATCAGGCTGGACAGGGAGGCTCAGATCCAGCAGCTGTGGCCTGGCTGGAGGACAGCACAGTAATGGATGTCTATGGACTTGTCAACACTATCGTGCACCAGTGCAAAGAGAAGGCCTGGAGGCAACCGAGTCACCAGGATGTCTCCAGTGCTGGACGGCAGGAGGACAGGTCCATAGCCACCCACAGCACTAATGCCTTCCTGCCGCAACACCTGGACCCTCCAGCAGCACTGCAGGTCCTAACATGGAGGAGCTCCTGAGCACATCCAATATCACTAGCTTTAGATAGTTCTTTTATAAAGAAATTTCTTAAGTCATTTTTTTCTGTTCTCCTCTGAGGTCCAGATGCACCGGTGTAAACCGGTGCTATCTTGATGAATGAGTATCATGTGTTGCTCTTAGAGTCCATTTTTCCAAACTGTTTATGCTTAAAACATACTTATTACTGTGCTGAAAAAGAGCCAATGTTGCTCAGCACTACTGCGTCACTGTCCCTCTGCCCTTGAAGGGCCTCTGCCTGATCCTGGTGCCTTGGGTCCTTAAAACATGATGGGGCCTGGCCCACTTCTCACGCAGGGCCTCTTCACCAGGGCATGATGGGGCAAGGCCCTTGGGCCTCAAAGAGTCCCTTTCCTGTCAACAGGCTGCCATATTCATTTAGAGCTTGCCTGAATGTCATCTCGTTCTCTCATGAAGGTGCTTTGTAAAGAAAAGCTATCTCAGAAAAACAAACAAACAAACAAAAAGAACCTATTGATTTGCAAACTGTCTTGAAGGTAGTTTACTGCCATTTAATTTCATAACAGGTCATTCCCTCTCCTGGTACAGTCTGCTTTCTTTATAAAGCCCCTTCAAACAAGAGAGATTTATTCTCATTTTCTGTTCAGCGTAGAACACTTTTCTAGAATCTATTTTTTTTCCAGAAAGAGAGGGGCATTTGAAACAGCAGTGTATACAGGGAAGATCACAGAAGACCCTGTACATTTATTTATTTATTATTTTTAAAACACTCTTAGTGATGCTAACACATGAGGATACTATCTCTTGTAAAGTAGCTACACTTTATTTTGGAGAAAGTGTATACTGAAAAACATTTCTATAAGTACTCTTTCTCTTCTTGAACATTTCTCCAGAGGATCATCTTGCCTCCTTTCATTTCAATTCACAAATCATTATTTTTCCAGCCAAAGATTCCTTTATTTGGTAAGTAGCAGAACAGAACTTTATCCACATGTTGTCACCACAGGTTTCCAAAATAGCCTATTCAAGTGGGTTGGCAAATTTCAAGTAATATGTGTGTAGAAGTGAAAACAATATCTGGCTTCTTGAGTTACCAGACTTAATTGTGCCAATGTATGCTTTCATTGCCTGTTGCTGTTCCACAACTTTCTCAAACATAAACAAAACAGAGTTCCAAAATATTAGAACTTTCCAGCTTTGAGAAAGTTGTTTTCTTCCTCAAATTGGGTAAGGGATTTTCTAGCTGTCAAAGAATGGAAAAAGCGTTCAAAAATATTTTTTTTTTTCCCAACCACCTTCTAATGCTTATTCCGTATTGCATTTTTACCCATCATGTTGTTGATGTGTGTTAAAACACACAGCAGAAGGTATTTGCCTACCAGTTCCACTCAGTGTCTGTGTTGACATAACAACTATTTGTCAACACA